AACTGCTTGGTTGTTTATCATTAATGGTGAAGTTGTACCTATTGTTAGTGAGTAACACCATGAAAGTTGTAAAACCTGTAGTTGAAGAAATAAATCGATTTCGTTATCATCAAGTGGACTGGACTTTTCATTATTTTTTCACATATATATCCATTACAACAATAATTTTGTGGATTTGAAAGGATTATTGCCAAAAATCATTAACACGCGGCTTAAGCCTAAGTTTTTATATAGCAGAAACAGTTTGGAATCATATGAGGTTTTGGATTTAGAAAGAAATTGTTTTAAAGTAATTATGTACAACACTGACCTCGCTGCGTGTTGTCTAATGATGCTTGACCCAAACACGGATGGCTTTTATTGCCACTTATGTTTGGTCAGATGGAGTTGATTTGACGCAGTTAACATATCCTCGACCAAGTTGTTTATTGCAATACCAAGACAGTTTTATAGACATTTTACTTTTAGCAGTGCATATTGAAGAGCCCAGGTATTAGGCGAAAGTCCTCGTCAGCACCGGAGAAAGCAACATATAGTGTTGTTGATATATTATATATATGAAAGATATTAACGTTTTCCACAGTCCTCGAAACAAAAGATATCGGGTTAATCAATTGTTTGTCATTTCATATTTTTCGCTGTAACCCAGTTCACACTAAAGTTTGTTTTCAAGCAATTTCCTAAAACAAATAGCGTCTAATTCACTACTCTGTCACATCTCAGCCGGCCTGAAGAGCCATGAAAATGGGTAAAAGGCCTCGTCAGAACTACATATAACAAATATAATATGATTGACGTGTTATTTATTATTCACTCTTCTTTACTTTCACTCCGAAGCTCTTATTTGTAACTACTTATATATATTCTTCGTCCATTGACGATATGGTCACTTTATCTGCTTCGTGGTCAGGAAGACTAGCTCTGAATAATGAGGTTAATTGAAGAAAATAATAATTAATAATATATGTACTTAAAATGAATACATAATACAGTATTCCTCTAATTGCAATGTGTTGTGACATGAATGAAATAGATGACAAATTTTATTTCACCAACGTTGTAACAGTTGTTTACAAACCAGAAGAACCCAGGTATTAGACGAATAGGTCTCGTCAGCATTGGAAAAAAAGTAGAATTGGGTAGTTGATATATTATTATACTTTTTTGTTTTTTACTTTCACTCCGAAGTTATTATTAGAGTACAAAGTCATTCTTTTCTTTACTCAAACGATTTACAATACCATATGTTCTTTTATTAAGAAACCATGATATCCTTAAGATTATCTTAGTATTTCATTAATCCAATTGGCTATGTGAGTGTTGATTCCATGACGTCGACGCCATCTGACCAATCATACATAACTATCAAGTCATGAATGCTGGGGTAGAGAATAATTCGAAAATACGCCTTCTGATTACGTCTGTGACTGTTAAGTGGCTGAAAGAAGCTTCTAAAAATTAAAATGAACTAAAAAATGTGTAGGACATTTAATTAGTCTACACACGAGCTTAGGACATTTAATTAGTCTACACACGAGCTCTAGATTATTTAGAAATTGTAGTACACTTCGTATGTAAAAACAATGAGAAGCTGGAAACATCATTTTGTAAATGGATGCCATTTTTATCAATAGAATCAAATTACAAATCTATTTTGATCTGTTATTAAATTCAATTTATATTAATGCGAGAAACGTACAAGTTTTTTTTATTATTGTTTAACTACTGTTATTATTTTTAGGTTGACAACGATGTCAATCACTATGATTATTTTAAGTCTTAACAATAAAGATTAAAGATTACAAGTAACTCATTTCAAACTTCCTTTGGGAGCATCCTAATTTGGTTTTGCACAGAGCTTCGGAAGAGTTTGCTCCAGCCCTCTGTGCACGATTAAGCACAATAAACAAGAAATACTGATAAAAACCCACACTTACCGGAATTCGAGAGTATGCAGTAAGCCAAATATAATCTTTTGTCTTCGGGGTTGGTTGAGGTTCTGGGAAAAACTCGACGCTTGGCGTGTCCGACTCCGACGAGTCCCGGGCGTGAAGTCGCCGCCCGTGGCGCTTTCCTCGCCGCTTGATTCGGTGTAAAGGTTGGCTGCTTTGGTCGATCTCCCAGACATCTGTGAAATTGAAATGTTTCTCTGAGGCGGTTAGAGTAGAGTTAGCTGTATATCTCAGCTCCGCTTTCTGCCGTTTCACATCTAAAGTGTTCACCGAAACGTCGGAGTCTGGCGATTTTTGGATTCTTGGGACATCAGTGTATCTAGCAAGACCACGGAAGTCTTCTGACACTGGCGAGGCTGCTTTAAAACATTGAGACACGATGTACGTGTAATACAAATTAACTCCACAAAAAACGTACAGAAAACCTACTAACATGTATAAAACTTTCACGCGGAGATCGACGCAACATGCATTCGACTTCATCGTTGGTTCTGCTTGTTCTGTTGCAGCACGTGTCGAAATCTTATCCGCGTGTAACTGCTTCAACTTACAGCCAATCAGAACAACACATTTATCGCCCTTCCTTCTCAAGATCCAATAACGTTTCGGTCTTACGTTCATAATATTGATAGCGATATACTTTGTATATTAATTACAAGTGGAGAAAAGAGAATTAGGTTGTTTTTTTTCTATTCAGAAGTAGTGCAGTATTTATAACATATACGTATATTACGCGTAAGTAGGTGCGTTTAACGTAAGTCACGGTAGTAATTAACCAAATAGCAAGGAGTTTCGTGACTTAGCAGAATTTTTTTTTTTTTTTGCAGAAGGTGTTATTGTCAGCCTTCCGTAGTAAGTGGGAAGTTTTGTTGTACACATGAAACAACAGGAGTAAAGTGTATTTTTTACATAATATGTTTCACCTACTTCTGATATGTAAAATGTAAACATTTCTAAATATTCGTATTTTATTTCTCACTTGTTGATTTATTTGAATATTTTCACACCCAGGATTCTAAGTGATAATAAAAGTGGTAATAAATACACAATAATCACGAAACTTCGGTATGCTGGTTGGTGTGCTTTGCTGGGAAGGTTATACTTTCCACATCTGACAAGCT